GACTGCTGGAATTCCAGTCGCATTTGCGAATGGCACAAGCAGCTTCAATAATTAGTTGCATGATGAACCACTTATATTCCTCTTCCCGCTACAGGTGACTAAGCCACTAATTATAATAATACCTCGTTTTCCCATCTAACTTCTTCGTGAGACGACGCGCATTTCAGGAAATGGGCAGGCTGAATCACATGCATATGACACCCGATTTGCTTGTCTCAGCCCACAGGTTGCAAATATGCATGTGTTTCTTGGCAGTTTATGGGGGTTACTGGATTCACCAAAACGTGTCACAAGCAGATCGGATGCGTTTCACATGGCTGTCATGGTGTTTTTGTTCTACAAATGATAACTTTTGGGCAGCTACTGAGTCGATCAAAAAGGAACCACGACTAGTGTGCATAATGGATCAGTAAAGTGTGTAGGTTTCCATGACTGATCTTTCGATGAGAGAGAGCCTCTTTAAGAAAGAATTAACGCAATAAAAGTAGATACCTAAAAATCCTTTAGGGAATAATACGTGGGAAAATATATAAGCTAAGAACGCTATTCAAAGGGCGATCCACGTGTGATCGCTTTAAGTTCACCTATGGATGTGCATTTGAATACACGGGTTCTTCTGCCTCCGAGGTTTGGTCGTTATCGCGGTTTCTGGACGTTAGAAGCGAACTTCACACTTTCCGACATGGCTGGAGACGTTGCTTTATTGCAAATGGTAAACAAATGGGACCAAAATTCACACATTCAAATTTTGTTGGATGGGTGTCAGATTTAAGTATCACAGGGCTGAACAGGCTGAGACTCACAGCAGAAGAACAACTGAAACTACGTCAGTTTTGGAAAAGGTCTGAACCGTGTGTCCTACCCTAATGGGTTCAACGAATTATAAACATGACTGAAACACCCCCTTATTGGATCAAAAACATATCCCGGCTACTGGCAAAGTTACCGTTCTTTGAAACTACTTCTCTAATAAATCTACTTTGGCATGCTGCCTAACGAAGGACGCGAAAGTCAGGCATTCCAACTTAGCTCTCAGCATATCCTAACATCAATTCAATGGGAAGCACTCCATCGTACTTGTCACGCGGAAGAGTAAAATGCACTGGAAGATTCGTAACATCCGAAGCACGTGGATGACACACAACAGAAGAGAGGCAAATTACATGGATTCTTTATTCTCCACAGCTTGACCACCACCTTAGTGTCACGACGGTTCCTTCGCAGCTTTATTTGCTCCAACCTTTGTGGTAGATAGCACAACTTTTTTAGATCAACAGTCCTTGCTGCATTTTTGGGGTTTACTCAGGTTGCAAATTTGCCTGCGCGAGAGTCATCAGCGATGAAGTCAAACGTTTACTGTCCAGTTTGAAATATCATGACTTATTTTTCATCTTTGACGAAAACTTGTCCTTATTTCAAATAGATTGCTTACACACTTTAAAAGTGGATCCAGCACCTATTGTTAGGCATTTTGGAGTTAAATTACAGTCATGTGAGGCACTGTAATATAGTCTAACTTACCCCTAATGATGTGTTAATATATTTTGTTAAAGGTGTTTCATTAGCTCTGTCTTTAGGCGATTAGATTCTTATCATCTGTCAAAAATTTGACAGATAGGTAGTTAGCGGAGACTGGGGTAAGGGAATTGCCCTTACTGAATGCTTGATTAATGCAAAGAGAGAAAATAATGGATCAATGGCTAACGAGTACACATTTCTTATTGGTCAGTTGGTAAGCATCACATTTTCCCCTGAAAACGAGGGGTAATTTTTTTAATGAACCTTACAGTGTTTAGTGGCTCATTGCTTATTGGAGGAGACCTGTGTCATGGTTACTATCCTCCATCAGGCTTTTCTTGTAAAGATTTGACACTTGTTTACCTTTATTCAACTGCACGTGCTCCTTGGTCATTGTATATTTTGCCTCCATTTTGGTGCCATGGTCTTCCTTCCACGCCTATAGCCAACGTAAAGATAAATCTCCTTCCGTACAGGAAAGACTCGGGACACTTCAGCCTATTATTGTCACATGCGTAACATTTAAGGGCTCGAAAAGGTTAATTGCGTGACATTGTAGAAAGCGCAACAAAAATAGGAGTTTTGCTAGGGCATTGGGGATGATTTTGCCCAAGAAGAAGACACGCCCCATGTCACCTTTAAAGAAATTGGATATGGTGATATTTTGCAAGCAGTGGGTCAATTGTTTGATTAATCCTTGGTTTTGGCAACTGGCCATCCAGGGGCTCCCCCATTTTAACGCCTTAAGGTGGCCTGGCCTTCCGGCTGTACCTGCGAACCAGCTCATCCCTGCTGCAAGTGGACATTACATTTACTTTCCGAGTATGATGTCCCCTTTTACTTTCAGGGAAGTCTCTGGTCACCACACTGGTTCCGAAGGTAAGCGAACCCTGCCCCAAAGGATAAAATGAAGGAAGAAGTGCATACTCTAAGGATGGGAAAATCGGTAACGACCTCTGGCCAAAGGTCTAAAAATGACATCAGCCTTCTTCAGCTGTCGCGGGTCTGTGCTGTCCAGGAAAATTATTAACAACTTAATCGACACTAGCTGTGAATGAAGTCATTGACAGCAGCTGCATGAAGAGGTCAAAAAAGTGAGCACGCGATACCTCCTCCGCCTCTCCACTAGCTGGATAGAACCCAAATAGATAGGGATGAGCAGCACTGCTGTGTAAACAGTGACGAGGAGGAATAAACGTAAAACTCTATCTCTACAGAACAATGCTAAACCCCATCCTTTGTTATATAGCTCTGCTTTTGGGCCAGTGTTCTTACAACTAGCCATGAACGTCCTCACATTTCCACGTCCCTACAATACAACCCCCATGCAGGACGAAATTCCAAATCCAGTGGAGTTTTCAAGACTCATCGATGACAGTGCTGTCAAATACCTCCCAAGTTGCATGGAAGTTCGATGACTGGGTGATGCAGGATGTTGACCAGGGGGAGTGCCGGGGATGACGCTCAAAAGAGGAGATCGTCTATACAATGCGTAGGCTATTTGGTTCAGTCTAGGTTTTGGCAAAGGGCCAAATAGGGACTCCCTCACTGCACCTTCGTCAAGCGGCCTGGCCTTCAGGACGCGCCGGTAGCCCAAAGCCACACTGTACGTCAACAATATAGTCATGGAAGGGTTCAGCTTTCATTGAAATACTCTTAATTGACTAACAGATTAAATGCTTATGGAATATGACACAAAAGTTCCTAACAAAACAGCTATATTTGTGACCATCTAATTTTGTTTCATTTTAAGGTTTTCTAATCAGTGTTCGGATACCTTCATCGTCCAAACCAACTTCCTCGAAAATGCGATCTTAATTTCCGTTAACGGCTCTCCATTTTAATTGCAGGCACTTCTCATGCCTCTTTGAGTTAACTTTTTCAATTAACTTTGAAGCTATGGAGCAATGGCTTAAAAGGGATGCATATCTTCCTCCTTTCATCAATATTTGACAATTTAACTTTGAAGCCCTTGGTACCCATCTCCTCCACAAATAGTAGGTTAGCTTTATGTTATTTGTTTCTCAACTTTCACATTTTTTCAAACAGGAAGATGAAAACGTGATGGGAGCAGACTTGTCTTTGGGTGAAGACCAGCCTGTGCTTGAAGTTTTTTTCATTCTGCCAAACACCAAGCTTACCATTTTGAACAAACATTGCAAAACAATAATCACATCTCCGGCTTTCCGTCAACTCTTTCAAAAGCCTATGCTCTAATGCAGATGTCTGGCATTAGAACTAATTAGAAATGTTGTATGGAGTTTATTTCTTTCACCATTTAACAATTCTAGGCTTATTTTTATCCCCAAAGTAAAGTACAATTACCCCTAGTGAGCAAATATTTTCATGCTTGCCTTGGGAGATGCCATATTTATATCAGGCACTTCAGGCTAAAGTAACTTTTATTGGTCGAACAACATTTAGTCCTTTTATCTTAGGGCCATGACTAAATAAAATACGCATCATATAGCAGTAACTTTTGTGTTATATCCTTCTTTCATGTCATGTTATTTCCTTCTTAAGCCTCATTATTGAATGAATTCCCTCCTAAAAAGTTTTTATTTGATTTATTTAATGCTCAATATGCTTCTGACAGTCAGTAGAAGAAACTCTGACCTGATTTCTCAGAAATCTGGCTTAACCTTTTATCTGAGACATGTTTCGCTCTACAGATCTGCAGACTGCCTAAAGGAGGCGGGGAGGGGATTTGCGGATTCATCTTTTCCATTTGCAGGAGTGGTATAAAAACCGCGGTTTAATTACGGACTAAGACCACCCGCACATCAGCTCGGGAGACTGTCCAAAGTGAAAATTTGTGCCCTGCAAACTCAACGGTGGGGATGAAATGACGAGGTTGTAGTGGGGACCTACGACTAATCGATCGTAGAGGGCGCGAGGCGATTTCCATCATCGACACTTTCAAGGGAGTGTGGAACAGCATATTAAAGTGAATAATTTTGGACTCACCTTTGCAAATCTTAACAAAGAAATACTGCTTTTATCGAATGGTTCTCACCATCATGCTCATTAAAGAAGCTCTGAACAGAAGCATTATTTATTAAGGGTACCATAGCCATCAAGATTTATTCCCAATTTTGCTCTAAATTAAGTGAGGAATTTAAATTACTTCTGATTTCCAGTCATCCAAATCAGGTTTCACAAACAATCCTTAGAACATCTCAAAATGTCTAGAATCTTTGAGGTTGAGCGAAAAAAAGGCTGAAAGGCAGAAAGGCTCATAATAATGGTGACTGTAAATCAAATGCCCTTCGACTGGTTGTGGTGGGAATGTTACTTGCACCGACTGGCATTCCCCTTTCCCTCCTCTAGCCCTTCCCCTTTGACAGCTTTTCATCTCTTCAAATTGTAAGTCTTTATTAACAAGTCATCATTCATGTATATCTGACAAGATGATGAAGGCACTTGCTATGCGTTTGCGTGTATTTGAGCTACGCTAACAGACCGTGTGACTGACTGGGCGTGTGCAGCCGTGTAGTAAACGTTGCAACTAGGTGGTCGCGTTCGAAGTCGCTATGGCAACTGTTTTGCCTTCCTGCCTTTCTTCTGCTCTCCCGCTCTTTACACATCCGGCTTTTGGTAAACGCTTTGGCTTGGACAAAGGACCTGTCAAATCTCCACTTTTTAAACCAATTGATGTGAGTCATCATAGTTTCACACGTAGTGGGTAATGGTAACAAAATTGCGGTTTAATGTAAATATATCATCCTGAGAAACGCGCTTAACCACCAGGTTGGCTGACTGAGGCGATGCATAAGTGCCTTTTGAGAAACATACAATTAATACTCTTTTGATCTCTTAATTCTCTATAAAGTAATGAAAGTCAAGATTTTATTGCCCTTTGAAATATCTAACAGCACCAAAAATGAAATGTAATATGGTGACCGTGGATTTGAAATCTAGAAGATCAACTTACCTCTGCTGTTATTGCTTTAGTTAAAAAGTTGGTTCAATGCAGACTAAAGTGTAGTTGATCAGATTGAAGGAGAGGGCTCTGCATTGTGGCAAGTCACTAAAAATTGCTTTTTTACTTTATTAAGACAAAGCCGCAAACTATGCTTGTAAATTATATTCCCTGCCGTGTAATGAGGAGCAACCCCAAAGAGGCACCTTTTTCGCACTTGTGGGATCACACGATTAAGCATCTATTGATTTATTGGAAATTTAGTTCCACATCCAGGCCAGAATCGATTTTTCCACTCTCTGTGAGGGCGGCACTTTGGGTGAGTTGAGCCAACACGCGGTCATAAATAATGTCAGGTCGCCAAAGGGGAGAAACGCCAGTTCCTGGCAAGGACCCCTGTTCGGAGGTAAGGAACGCGGTGGCCTTCCTACTCAGCAGCGGCTCTACACCCCACACCCTGGCAGTGCACAATGTTTTACGTTCACTTTGGTTTTAGGATCTTCTAATGTTTGCACCCATCGAATTCCACGCAGTTTCGATTGCAATACCTCCAACTTATTCTCCCAAAAAGCAACCGATTATGTGTTCCTTGACGAAAGGGTTGTTTCAATGGTGCAAGATGGTGTCAACTCATAGTTACCTCGTTAGTGGAGCATGCAAAATCCTCTCACTTCATCCTAGACAACAAAAAGTACTTCAGGAGTATTATTGTCCGTGTGTATGTGGGTGGACTATAAAGACTTAATTTCATTAACCCCACCTCGTAAGTAAGCACCTTGATGGGTTTAAGCGGAAAAAAGATAATTTAGGTGTTAATATAACAGGGAAATGGTGCATCTTCCGATCCCTTTTTATTTTAAAAAATCAATGAATTTGTGCAACGCAGATATAAATACAAACCATACACGCACATGTTTTATTGTTCGTCCTTGTTGAAGTTTCAGTGCCAAAGATGTGAAAATCAGATAGGGCAATGGCGTTACTCCATAATAAAAAACCCCGTAATTTACCAACAGAGGCGCCATAATTACCGTATAAAAAACAAGCATCATGATAAAATAAAATGAGCCATTAAAATGCACAATGGCAACACAAAATTCCAATCCCCTACCATAACTTTATAGTACAAGTGAAAAATGAACGAGTTATGTATGGAAAAGAAGGCAATCATTTAATGGCAAACACCAGTTTGAATGTCATTCCAGATCAGACTCTGATTTTGACCGTTAAAGTAAATGCGGTTTTATAGTGAACGTCACTTTAGTACTTTCAATAGAGCTTTACATTTTTCAGAGCTTCTGTTAACTTCACTGACCACGTGAAAAGTACACAGTGCCTGTTTTCATTGAAGATGACGCCCTGGATTTTTGCGTCGTCTGTTTATAATGTAGCCTAAAACTGGGGTTATGGTTGTTTTGCATAACCAGCTAACCGATTCGTAGACCAAGTCCTTCACGGTTTGGCAACTTGACCATATCGCTCTTGAAGGCGGTGTGAGGCGTCCGAATCTGAAAGTTGAACAAGACTTTATACTACCGTCACGGGAGGCAAAAGGCCAGCGCAGTAAAACACCCAAGGCGAATAAAAGTCTTTTTATTGCATAGTCTCCTTCCTCCTTTGAGCCTCCCGTTGTCACACTTCCGCTTCGTCCATCACGAGATAGGGGTGGGGGATTTAAATAAACCATTCGGGTTCTAAGAACTACGATCATACAATGGTTTTTAATCAAGGCGAAAAGACATTTGGTAACGTATTCTGCAATTGAGTTACCCTGAAGAAGTTTGTAAGCAAACAATTTCGAAAATAGGTTTATTAGAAGCGTTCGGAAGGATTGAGTGGCATTAATAGAAGACTAGAACAGCGTCCGAAGTCACCTGCAGGTTACAGCGGAATTCGTGCTTCTAACTTCAAATTTTGGAGAAGGCCACGAACTTTTAGTTGCTGATACAGAATCCTAGGTTGCTTGAGACAAGCTAGATTAATAAAGGCTGAAAGTCTAGGTGGTCTCGTGTATGCAATGACCGTTGTACCTCTCCTTTACGAAATTTTACTACCACTGCGGTCACTACAGACCACACACAACATTTCAGGTGGCCATCATCAACGGCACATTATATCACACCTCATTTCACATCCCTTGTTAAAAGTTCACCCATGGGAGGGAAAGAAGGTAAAAAGGTCAGAGAGAAACGTTGTACTAATTTGGTGCGGTGGTGGTCGAATTGGTCCAGTTTTCCCATTAGGAATCCATTCAATTTAACTATTGCTAAAATCCATTCCATCTGGCAATTTCTAGGCTACTAAAATCGCCTCATAAAGTTAAATTGTAAATGTACTTACCTAAAATAAAACTACTCAATAAAACTCGATGTTTCGCCATGGAGTATGGAACAAATATCCCCGTAGAAGCACAGGAAAAGACAAAATATTCGACGCCGTTTTCTTTTCGGGTAGTTGATCCATGATGGCTGCAACTTTTTCATTATTTGAAGACACAAAAAGACACACTAGTTGAAAACAATCAACAGCGCCTCTCATATCGTAGTCCAAGGTGTTCAATTCAGCTGAAACAAATGACTGCATGTTGGTAGCAATATAATATTGCAAATGTTCGGTCATCTGCTTCTGGGCTGTGCAAACCGTATAAGAACGTTTCTGTCAAAAGTCACAGGGTCCTCTCGGGCAAATCTCACTATATGAGACCGAAGAATCTTCTTCAATATCTGGATGCAGACTGGTTCCTTATTCTTAAGGCCACTGAGGAGAAAGGCATAGAGCCACCAATGTTGTCACAGATTTCGATGATTAGGCTCTAAGCTCTCTGGACAAACTCGACATTCTTCATGAAATCTATCATGGAGGAAACATTTTCATGGGTGATTGTGAGCTCTATTTTGAACAAGATGAGGGCAGCGTAATTTAACAATGATTGAACATTAGAATAACTGTGACTGATAGCCCAGGGAAAAATTGCGAATTACATTTTCTTGGTCGTTTTGCCACTGACGAATAGGTCTAATCGCTCCGTTGTATTTTCCCCAAGTCTCTTATAAGTTATTCAAATGAAAAGACAAATGTACCCCTACTTTTACCAGCACTTCTTTTTTTAATTCGTATCACAACTCTATGGTACCTTGTGGATATGTTAGCATTAATGTATTTATAGATTATATGAGCGTTTGAGGCCATAAAAGGGTGCTCTCATAGGTCTGACAATCCTTTAAGTGAAAAAATAACCTAAAAAGTATATTTTATTGCATAGAAAAAATAAATTCTGACAGACAGCACTGTGTTTGCAGAATCCATCCTGCTATGAACAGATCGCATCCTTAATTACATCCTGGATAGGCTGGGAGGCCGAGATGGTCTCTTAATCAACGACTCACGACAACCCACGTGTGTTCGACAGTTGGAGGTAATGATAGCCCCCTACTCTGGCCCTTAAAATGTCCGTACCTTTAGTTCGCCTTACGTGGGCATTGGTCTGATTAACCCCTCATTCTCAATCTTCGATTTCTTCTTCCCTCTCTTTTCCTTACGTCTTCGGGTCATATGTTACTTAAATCAGTTTAATGTCCACTTAAGTATGAATGCTCCAGCAGACTCATGGAATTTATGCTTGGTACTGATTTGGATCTAATTCAGATTATATCCATTGTACTGGGAGGGAGGCTTTGCACAGTAAGGTAGCATTGACTGCATATTCCACAATCTCATTCAAGGTAAACCACAATCCGGTGGAAAATAAAGTCCTGTATGGCTTTAAAACAATGCCTTAACTCTGCCATATAATGCCAAATAGAGCAACCCTTTTATTCAAGATACTGTTAGTGATAGCAATGACAATTAGCAGTTGAAAAATTGATATTTACTGTCGAGTTTAGATCACTTAGCTAAAACAAAGCTTTGGTAACATTTGATAAAACTGGTGGCTTTGCCAGAAGCATCAGTATTCACTGGAATAACTTCGCCATAAAGGACGCCAGATACCTCTCTGCGGTTAAATAAATTTTACTGACCAGCTAAAAATCACGAATGCGAATTAGTCCCATCCCAATGCATATTTCTGGGATCTCAAGATGCAAATGCGTGGGGTATTGCTATACCATCGATGGTATAGACTAGGTCCGCATCTGTTATGAGCCACCAAGTGAAAGTTATTGCCCAACATGTGACCTTTTACTGGGAGAGAGCTAAGAAAGAACTAGCTACGCCCTACCATGCCAATTAACTCAGCTGCCCAACACAAAAGCGGCACGCCCATGACAAATTAAGTTAAAAAACTCGGTTCCTAGGCCAATGAAGCTCTCATTAGTTAAGACCTATAAAAAGGTCTATTTGAGAATAAAAATTAGAAAAAACCTTTTTGAGCATTACGTCCTCTGATAGGCGAAATGCGTCAAGCCAACATTAATTTGAAAACTAGTGCTGCAAGCTGACGGTAATCTCCAGCAAGCACTATGCCTGTCACCGGTTTTTGTCAAGAAAATTTATCAAGAAATAATATGCGGAAGGAAGGATCATTTCTTGGAAACCCTGGTGAAATGGGCCTGTTTGATTCGTTGTTTAGCTAAATGTAGAGCTAGTGATACCTGAATTGGCCAATTCAGCTAAATTTCAACAGTCCCTCTCTTGCCAACCCCTATGGGTTTTAGCGTCACATCTGCTAGGTTTAAGTCTGGCAATCATCAATGTTTTGTTCATTTGGATCCTATAATTTTACCACCTCTACCATTGCTGTGTCCAGAGTGGTCCTTGAAGTCAATAAGGCATGTCCATGTAGAATGGCGGTCTTGAATAGCACAAGGAAGGAGGCCGAACAACCTGCTTGATTGAATGTGCAATCACTGAAAGGCAGCCAGAAAATCGGTATCTTATAGGGCTGACTGAGCAATTCAGTGGCCATTAACGGTTCTCAAAATCCTAGGTTTGGGATTAGGGTATTATAGTCTGCAACAATTGTTTTTTTGTATGCACAGTTGCGTGACTAATGGAATCTGTAATCTAACAACGAATCCAAGTTGATTAGAACAATAAAGCTACCAACACCCATGCCTGTAAAATAAGATTGAGATTTCAGATTAGATGGATGGAAGCATTCACACATTTCCACATATGATTGCGATGGGGACTAGGAGTACAAGTATTGCTCCACTGCTGGTGGCCTATAAATTATTTTCGATATACCACTATTGCTTATTTTTGAGAAGAGGACGATGTCAGTTGCTGTTAGGGCAGCTTTGTACCTGTGCGCTGGGGACTGGCTCTCAGGCGACGGGGGAGAGGTTTGAATGAGGACGTTTAGGTCTATAATTACAACGACAACGACAAGAAGGACGACGTGATGAGGCTGGTTCTGAAAGCATGAAAGCATAATTGCAGGTGGATTTGTGAAATTGCTGGTTAATGCTTATTGAGGGATGCAATTAAACGAGCTAAGAAGCACTTAAATCCTTTAAAAGGCAGCGATTTATTTTTCGCTGCTAGTCCAACATGTCTCATATAAAAATTGTCATTACTTCTTTCAATCTATGTCATGGTTGCAAAGGAACCCATACTCGTTCTTTCTGTAGAATAACTACTTGCTTCAATGGCGAAACAGCGCTGGCTAATACATGTGCATTCACGGGAGAAGATCCCACAACGCTTTGGTAAATGCCAATTTGTAAGCATATTTTTCTTTTCATGTGATTTGGCTTCAGAAGACAGATTGCTTGGGGATGGATTGACCCGAGGCACACTTAACATTAATGGTAGCTAAATGGTTTAGTAATGCATGCAAATCGGTAAATAGGAGGAAAAATATTTTGAAACTATTTGGGCTGAATGGATTCGAAAACGTGACTGGTATTTAGAATTATTAAACTGTAATAACGGCTGGCGCCGGCTTATTTTGTGGTGGGACTATGTAGATTAAGAATATTGGGATAAGCAATTTTTTGCAATCCGGAAGAGAAGAGATAAAAGCCTGTTTCAATCCCAAAAATTAATCCTGTTTGCTGATGAGGAAAATATTTAATGTCCCTAGGATTTCTGTAGGTAAGCTTCTAAAAAAGACATTTTAAGTGCCATTACTAGTGATTTCAATTAATGGCAACATCCAGCTTTGAAACACCAACTTGAAGGCAGGTTTCCTGATGTCCTAGACAGCAAGTGTTTGATTTTCATTGGGGTCAGAAAAACTCGACTTTGATGAATTTCCGCATTTTTGAGACAGCCTTGGTAAAACTGTGGACAGTTTGCGAATATCTGGTGCCAATCTTGAAGAATGGGCACTTTAAAACCACCGCAACAGCTCAGATGTCTGGAAAAATCAGCAAATGAAATGGTTGATGACGTTAGTTCACATTTTATGGTGTTCTGTTCGTTTGTATTTCATAAATCATCTTCATGGACGAGCCCACTTGTGACAAGGGAGTTGAGCAATGCGGATGATCTGAAAGCTGGGGTGCATTCGTCAGCAATTTTAATTTTGATATAAATTGGCAAGATATGTAAATTTAAAACACATTTTAAACTTTTCTTCCACACATTAATATCATTATTCATAACTGATAAAAAGTATGCAGATGAGACTATTTATAAAGTCCTAGAAAGGAAGCAGTATCTTCTACTTTCAGGAAACATTCGAAAATTCAAACCAGACCCCAAGATTACGTGCAGCGAATCTACCTACAGCGTTTTACTTGCTCATCGGGTTGCATTCGCAGTAACACCACATTAGATTTCATGTAACACAATCGTATTGAATGCCCTGGGCACTAATTGTTTGGACAAAAGAAAAATGGGCGTAAAGAGCATTTTACAAGCCTACATTTACTCTACAAGGCGGTAACCTGCCGCATTTCATTCTACTCAAAAATTGTTACTTTAGAAATGGGTGAAAAGAAGAAAAACCCCCTTATTGGGGGTGGGATTCGGTGGAGTGATGGGCTCCTTTTTTAGCGCAACTAATCATTTAAATATTAATAGTAAGGTTTTAACCATACTTTTCGCCTAAATACTGAATAATACGTCAGTGGCTCCCCCGAAATCTTGTCAGAAGCTGTGGTAGCCTATGTTAGTGTGGCGGTCGAACACCACAGGTATGACCGAAAAGCCATTATGTTAAGCGGAAGTACAATCTGTGGAAACTGTGTATTTGCACGTACAATTAAACAAAATATTATATCACTACCACTCTCAGTCTATTTATAAGAATCTAAATGTAATTAATCTCAACAGATGAGATGGAGTGCAAGTAGATGGTTTGGCCCCTCAAAATTTGAATTATTTCCGCATTCACCAGTTTCACTTGGCTGACTTTAAACTCACTTCGTACCTCAATTTTGTTCCACTCATGCACATATGCCATTACTAAACTGATCATTTAATTTGCTTCCTTCCAGGTCGAGCACAGAAGGCCATTTGATCTTCCCCGAATCATCGTCTACGCTGGCGGTGGGGGTTCTGCTCATGCTGCCTGAACTACTGACCTCCTCAGCTCTGATAAAGCCACTTCCAGACTGTATGCTTTACTGCATCTTCAGGGTAACTTGGGATCCGTGGGTATGCCGGAGGGTCTTGCTTCTGCTTTCCGGTAGTTCATGCAAAATACCATAAAAGCCACACCTTATTTATCTTTTAATCGAGTGAGGCTGAGCTTTTGGACACAATTGATTTGTAAGATAAAGCTAAAGAGAAGCATGATTTTAAACATATTTGAGATGCAAGTGGTTCTCTCCACCGTGACCACCAATGGCTCCTGAATAAAGCTTTAGTAAAAAAGGCTAAAGTCGTCAATTTTATTTATCCATTATAACACGACAAAAGTCATAACTATAGCTTAGACACAGTGATTACTAGTTTACTAATTTGGTAGAACTTTGAGGCCAATTAGTGAATGGATTTTAGTCTACCTACTTTATGCCACATCTAGGCAAAGGGGTGGTTTTACAAGCTCTGCAAAGGGAACTAAGATTCAACTGAAGTCAGTAAGGTTTTGAAAGAAATTATCTTCAGAAAGTACCAGTTCGACTATGTTTGAACGTCATGTTGTAGTTATGGTGACAATCAAAGATTGGATGATGAATTTTAGCAGAGCTCTCAATGCGCCTTATGTCTTATGTTACAAATCCGTGATTTGTTTGTTCTAGTAGAGTGAACGAGGACTTTGTAATCACAGTTGCATAAATGCTGGCCAAGATATGCTCCACCCACGTGGGTATTTATTTTACCAGTGAATTAAACTTTTAAACCAAAGGAAAATCAACAAATGTTTTACGGCTCCCCAAGGAAACCCAGCTTTCAGAGCTAAAGCCTTTGAAAAGATAACGCAGTTTAGTCGAAATATTTTACTGTTCCGGAGGGAGTTGCGGGATGCACGAATACAGGTAATTTGAAGGGCTAGAACCGACAAGAAGCTTGCTCTGCGGTAGTCTAAATATCCACTTAGTCTTGTGCACAATGGGAGTAAACATAAAAACATTAGCGAATCATGTTATATGCTGACGGGCCAACCGACTGAAGGGGAAGTCAACGGGGGCGGCATATTGGAAACACCCAGTCCACACACGTAAAGGATGGAAAATATAAGTAGGCTTTTCGAGAAGGCAACGCTGTTCAAACACAGAATGCTCAAATTATGGTCCTCATTTAATGTCCCATTTTCTGTCTTAGTTATTATCGTCAAAATTACTATTGTTCCTATTACTGAACGACACTCGCATTGACGTTGTTGCGGTTTCCTACATGGATTGCTGTGTTGTTTTCTTCCGTGTTTAACCCCACGATTTAGGTCCAAGCTTTTTAGGCCTAAAAACTACCTTTAACCATAAGTTCTTACAAGCTGTATTATAACCATTCGGTAGAGGTAATGGAAGACCAAACGTAGCGATCCCGTGAATGATGCTAAAATTCACCACATTTTCTCTTCTTGAACTCACAAGAGATTATTTAACTTCTCTCCATGGTTTGACGCTACCAGAAACGTCAAGTTACTCCATCCTCCCTGGCACGATGGTAGGAAAATCCACGACTAATCGAGGGAGATTAATGTGACAAAAAATGAAAACCACCATCAAAATTTGGATTAAGAGGACAACCTTAGGAAGGTATAACGTGTTTCCTTACGGCCTCAAAATTTGTCCTTTACGCCTGATATCACATTCCCTCTAATTTGGACACCATGGATTACTGCGGCTCGAAGTGCCATTAAGGGAGGAACGCGAAAGGTGCTCAACACAGTACTTAATTTGCAATAGCGCATCAGAATAATACTGGATTGCAGAAATAATGAACTGTAGATACTAACTGACAGAACTCAGTGATAACATAGACGACTGTCCACAATACTCCAGAATCTTATCTCTTAATCCATGCAATTGCGTCCGGTTAACAGTTAGGAACATTTTGGCTGGGCTAAATTAAGTAGGACACGCGTCCATCCGGGAATGTGTGGATACATATATACTTACCATTCATTAAGACCCATGTAATGTATCCGATTTCTCATATATAGTAGACCTGCAGGTGGACACATGTTAATGGCGTAATTCCGCTCCGAATTCAGCCCACGGGATACTCTCAAACCCACCCAATGATAGGGCCAAATTCTCCTCGTCATAGTCTAGTTGGCCTCGCTATCGCCTTCCTATGCTACCAGCGCCCTGGCATAGGTGCCTTAATCCCAGACTTCAAAATCCAAATCACGGAGCTAACAAACCTCTGCAACGGTAGGGGATGACCATGTACTTCTCATGAGAACCGGATGCAAGCATTTATCACGTTAACCAGTGGTGAGCGGAAAAAGAAGAGGAGGGTGCAGTGACCCTACCTATGTGTCCGCTTGCCCCACATGACGGAGAGGGTGCATTCTTATGGAGTTATTCCCTGTTTATAGTGGAATCACCCCACTCTTCTAAAATAATCACCATCCACCGTTTCATTCTCACTCCGTTGCCTATTACAATTTTTACACTTCTTGGGCATTCTACTCAGCTTAATTTTCATGTTACACCAAAACAGGAGATCTTAGTGCAATTTTTTGATTTCCTACTACTCCCCTGCGTCTTCGCATTATGACGACACCAGGGAACGAAGTAATTGGATCACTCTTTAAATTATCACTGCCTTAAATGAGGAATCCACTAGGCATGGTGTTCAATACTCACGGTTCGATCATCAACTTCTAGTTAGCACGTTGCGACATCCATGCTCCCTATCTACTGATTTGTAAAGACACAAAAAATGTTTTCTGTCCCTGAGTTATAATGAGAATGAACAGCCTTTATTTAAAAGGACACCTTCCTGGCATTTTACTTAGTGATGATATAAAGGCGTTCTATATGCTTTTGGCTTCATTATAATTGTTTAATTTAAAAATAATCTATAATTTGAGTCACGAAAACCCCAAGATGGTTCACCCTCTGTACAATCTCTCTAGCTTTGAATAAAATTACACACAACCTCACAGAATAGTGCAAACATGCACCGAAATTTACAATTGAATGTCAAACATTTAGCAAGAGACGCCTGCATTTTAGGATCTACATGCTTGAAACTTAACATTTCACAATGAATTTTTTGGCTCTTTCAATTAATTGTGATCATCTGGATTTCGTCAATGAACGTCACTTTTAAACTGCTTTAGCCAGAGATTGAAGGTGACAGTTTGGTCAGAGCGAATGACCAATAAAATATGTGACAGACGGAAAGAGAGCAACGCTATTCTCAGTTGCTTCACGGTTGTATAAATCTATTCGGTCATCCGCTAATTAGTCCTCACACTGATATCCTAGAGTTTCACGTATGCTATTAGCCCATCAGCTCTTTTGTACGTGGCGGCCAAGGCTACGTCCACACAGGCAAGAAGAGGTAATTCGTGTTTTGCAGTCTGGACGATTGTGTTCTGGTGGGCGATTTCAACCTTGACCACAAGTAAACAGCTCAAAAGTCCCCAATTTCAGCCGAAACTGCGGCACCTGGGAGGTGATTCGCAGAGCTACTTCCGCGTGTCTTACGCCTAACAAGGTATTAAGAGACCTTTCCACAATTGTATTTCGTTTCGTTTGTATACTTTCATATATGGAGTTGCGAAAGCAATCAATCTTGTCCACCTTTATGTCTCTAGAAGTATGCTTATCTGTTGATAAACAACTCACGGAACACGTTGGGTGAGAAAGCTATTAAAATTGGGATATATAGGGGTGAGGCGGGGGCTTCCTTCAATGAAGAAACCGGAGTATAGTTGTTATCTTGTCCCAGAAAACACGGAAAGAGATGCATAAAAAGAGGGGGAGGGGGGAAACGCATTCCAATTCTTGCCTTTTTATAGCCCTGGTGTCTCGCGTTTCGCCTCTATCTGTCCACAAAATCTCCGCTGTGTAGTACGGTCACTGCAAATAATAATCACACTTCCGTTTCTATGTGTTCGTTCATAAAGGGAAGAAAGGAATTCGCACTGTGAGAAGAGACACTTTTTGTTTGGCACTGCCTCTTCACGATTTCCACTCGAATGTCAACTGATCGGCAGGAGGTTGGCAAAAAAATAAACATCCTCGCTGAACTACTTTTTCGACAGCTTCTATCCAAGGGTGTCAATTAAAGCCTTGATAGTGTCCAGGCTAGAGAAACAGTGCTCTTGCCTTTTTCTAATCAAAGCACGATACATTTTACTATTGAAGATTAGAATCCCAAACGGTAAATAATGGGTTTGACAGTTTTGACATTAGATATATGAGACCAGTGTCTATAAAAATTGCATTGTATCTTAAATCCTGCCGTATTCGAGAAGTAAGGGGACATTTCTTTTAAACAAGAAAAATTATTACTATTAACGACCATTAGGCAGTTTTAGCGTTATATTTATATGAATACAGATAACAATAATAATAAATAATAGAATACAGGTATCGTTTGCGGAGCCTGCCCTAACTGCTGTAGTGCCATCTTCATGCGATCTCCTCGGTTAGGCACTTTTTTATAGCACGAAGGTACCTTCTACAATCAATTGGATGAAATGATAGAGGAAGCATGAAATAAAAATAAAAATTAAAACTAGCCTATAGAATTAATAAAAAACAATATTTGTTCTACCTTCTATTGTGCAGAGAGCACCGCTGGAAGCCTCTAAACCAGAGCAAGAAACCATAGTCGCCAGAATTTACACCAAATAAATGGCTTGTTTTTAAGATCTATAAGCTAGATCTTTGAAATTTTCGTGTAAAACATTCACTGCCTTTAACAATTGTAATTACAAAAGAGCGGCATCGGCAGTGGTTCGCATGAGGACGCATTAGTCGATTAGACGGTTTCAAAATCGGATACTTTATATTTACTTAAAGGAGACCTTTGTCTAAATGTTGCCGGTAGTTGACGAGATAGATACAGGCTGAACGACGTCAAAGCAGGGAGTTTCGTGAGAACTGACGTCTGGTGGTGGAAACGGTAACACCACCTGGCAGGCGCATGGGGGGGAACGAGTATC